ACCTTTCCTCCATTCTTTTTCCATCCTACACTGCTTAGCTCAATTTTCTTTCACCTTCTCTCTCTGCCAGGTTTGGAGCTGGGAGACCAGTATAATCTTCTATCAGAATAGGTCCAAAAAGGCTCAAGAGAGGTAATATAATTCTATTCTAAATGCATCAATGCTTGTGAAGTTGTCTTCAGAATTACCATTGAAAACTGTCTGCTCAGCTTATGAGGTTGTTTTTGATGTATTTGAATATTTGTACTCTGATAGAAATCTCCCTGAACGTCCTTTCACTTGCAAGCCCTCATTGAATCTCTCTCTCTCTCTCTCTCTCTCTCTCTCTCTCTCTCTCTCTCTCTCAAGTTCAATAATCTTTTGCAGTGTCATTTAGCCAGCCAAGCATCCTACTATGCCCTACTTAAAGATGAGAGCTGTGGGCTGGGACAGGGTAGAGATAATCTTGATACCCAAATCCTTTACTAGAACAATGTTCTTAACAAGCCTTCTGTCCTGTGGTGCCTGCCAATAGGAGTGACAGCTGATCAGCAATGGGGGTATAATTTATCTTAACCTGGTGACTTGAACTAATTGAGGTTAAAAAGATACTCTTTTCTCAGTTCCTTATTTATCATGGTTCATGAGTCTCCTTTAGCTATTTCTGTTTTATTTTCCACAGTCTAAAGTTTGCTGTGGTAGAGAACAGAGAAACAAAATAAGATGTCAGTAGTTCTGCATTTTCCCATCCACTGTGATCATAACACATCTCCTAAGCAGTGGTATTCTTGTCCTTGGTGTTGGTACAAAAAAAAATCATTTTTGTTGTTATTTATTGTTTTTCTAAGCTCCTGATGCTATCTTTATTGGAATGTATAACATTTAAAAATTAATTCTCATTTATTTTTCCTCGCTTCCATATGGTGAAGCACATGCCTTGAGGCTACTTTTCCCAAATTCTACTCACACTGGCAGGTTGGGTCCCCAGAAGAAGGTGGGTTACTTTCCCTCTCAAAGTTGTAGGCTTAACCTGAAGAAGCTAAAGGTGGTTTTCTAATACTCTATCTCACTAGCTTCCACCTCTTTGCTTTCCCCATTGATTATCAGATGATATCAATTAGTCAGCCAGACTTAATAGCTATTAGAAACAGGCATTAATTAAGATGGTAAAAAAGAATTGGTTCAAAACATTGTCCCAAACCAGTTGCAAACATTCTTACCAGTGAATATAGAGTCCAAGGGAAGGTGGACTCCAGCTTACAGAGCACATAGGGCAAAGGGGTAACTAGTAACTCCAGATTGGAGCCACTGCTGGAAGTCCTTTTCTCCCTTTGTAAAGTCATCATGCTCTTCTCCTTAGGTAATGTATAGATTTCTTCTGGGATCCACATAGAGTCATAAAGCTGCCTTTCCTCAGTGTATCACACTTAACCTTCCAATGTAGACCCTGCTGTCAGCCACTGTAGTTCTAGGGGACACTGGGAGTACTAGCTCTTAGACACTATTTAGCATGTTAACTAAAAATCCATTTATCATTAAGTCTCAAAGTGTTTTTAATGGAAGTTATTACCATGTTTAGTTAAATTATGTTTCTACGTGCATAGATGCAATCACATAATTCTATTATTTTTGTTATTAATATGCTCTCTTATGCTTAGTATCCCTAACATTGAAGCATAACTGCATGATATAAACTCAATCTTGTCATAGTAAATATTTTTGATAATCTTTCATTTAGTATTTTTTTTTTAGGCGATTGGGGTTGAGTGACTTGCCCAGGGTCATGCAGCTAGTAAGTGTCAAGTGTCTGAGGCTGGATTTGAACTCAGGTCCTCCTGACTTCAGGACCAATACTCTATCCACTGCACCACCTAGCTGCCCCTCATTTAGTATGTTTAATCAATATTTATTGAAGCTATTTGTGCATTAGTTCACTGCTTTCTTTTTTCAGACTTATCTTTCCCTGATTTGTTTATCAGAACTATATTTGTCTCATAGGAGGAGTTGGTAAAGTACTTGTTTTTTCTACTTTTTGAAAAAAAATGAAAGGTAATTATTCTTGTTTGTTTGTTTATTTGTTTATTTGTTTTTTTGTTTGCTTGTTTCGGCTAGGCAATTGGGGTTAAGTGACTTGCCCAGGGTCACACAGCTAGTAAATGTTAAGTGTCTGAGGCTGAATTTGAACTCAGGGTCCTTCTGCAAGGCCAGTGCTCTATCCACTGTGCCACCTCGCTGCCTTGCTAATTATTCTTTAAATCGTTGATAGAGTTCATTTATAAATCCTTCTAGCTTTTTTAATTTTCAGTTTAGAAAGAGCCTAGAATCTATTAGGATACCATCCATAAAATAATCCATACATAAAAGTATATTGCTGCACACAATATATTATGGATAGATAATCAACATTAAAGAGTTGACTCAAATCTTTCATTGTTCACTTATTTCAGTTGTGGCCAACTCTTCATGACCCTATTTGGGGTTTTCTTGGCGAAGATCCTGGAGCAGTTTGCCATTTCCTTCTCTAGCTCATTTTTACAGATGAGGAAAGTGAGGCAAACAAGGTTAAATGACTTGCCCAGGGTCACACAGCCAGTAAGTGTCTGAGGTTGGATTTGAACTCAGGTCTTCCTGACTCTAGGCCCAGTGCTCCATACATTGTGCCACCTAGCTTCCCCCCCCGCAAAAGTTTACCTTATTATTTTAAAAGTTGTGAAATATTTCTAATAGTAATAGCTCCCCATATAATGCTGTGGAAAACACTCTGCTTTAATCAGAAAAAATGAGATTTGAATCTGTACTTGGTCTCTTACTTTGTGACATTGAGTTAATCACTCATGCTTTTTAACAGATTCCTAGTCTCTAAAATGAGAAAGCTGGACCTCTGAAGTCCCTTCCAGTGTGAAGTCTATGATCCCACAAAGCACAAAATAGTTTTTGAAAGTGCTTTGCTTGCCCCAGGTACCTCCCCCCCCCCCCCCCGCCCCACCCTCTTTTCAGCTTCCTTTTGTGTGTTTTCTTCCTTCATCAGAATGTAAGCTCTTTGAAGGCAGGCACATTTTGTCACTCCCCTTTAGCAAGCAGCTGCTAAGAGCTTAATATCTGCTTGTTTGCCTCTTACTGGATCCTGTCAGCAATGATTTGTAACTTCTATAAGCATCAAAGACAATTTCCATGCCGGTCAATTTCTGAATGTTAGAAAATTTTGAAAAATTTCCTTTTTCTCTATTTCTAGGATATACTAAGTTGAATTCAGGGAGTTCTATTTGAGATCTTTTTTTTTAATTAACATTTAATTTAATTAAGAAAGACAAATAATTTGTTGGATAATTTTCAATTCTGATTGGCAAAGGAAAAAGAAGCAAACTAGCCTATATCACAAAATATACCATATTTATTTGGACAAATCAGGTGTGGCTTTAAACATTCAATTTAATTATCATAAATGAACAGGCATGTTTAAAAGAAGGATGCTGGATTCTGTTCTGAGTTGTTAAGTTACTATTTAGATAGGAGATAATGAAATGGCAAGACCATTCGATGGAAGATACAGCTGATGAAATAATGGCGTTATTCACATTGAGCAAAGAGAGAAATGAAAAGATTTATTTGTCCTTCATGGCCTTACATTTACATACACAGAAGAGGGTAACAGTTATCTACTAACCGTGCAGAAATGTAATGGGCACAGATTTCAACTTGATGAATTTACAAAATGGATCTATAAACTCTTTAAACTTTTAAAATGTGAATATAACAATCATCAGTAAGTATAACCATTTCAATATTCAAAGAAGAGGATTACACAAGAAACTGTGAACTTTACATTCAGTCATTTATTCAGCTGTGTCCAACTCTTCATGATCCCATTTGGGCTTTTCTTGGCAACGATACTGGAGAGATTTGCATTTCTTTCTCCAGCTCATTTTACAGATGAGGAAACTGAGGTAAACAGGGTTAAGTGACTTGCCCAAGGTCACACAGCTAGAAAATGTCTGAGGCCAGATTTGAACTCACTAAGATGAGTTTTCCTGACTCCAGGCCTGACACTCTGTCTACTATACCACTTAGCTGCCTATAAGCTTCTTTTACATATAGTTTTTTAAAAGTGTGTATTAAATTTAACAAGGTACTAACAAAACTATTTGTTTTTTTCTTTGTATTTTAAAGATATTTTATTGATTTTTTTTTTTGCATTGAAACCTATCAATATCCTCTAGTTGCCTCCCTTCACCTCCAACTGAACTTGTCCCTTATAATGAAATAGGTGGTCAAGAGAAATAAATCAACATATTGGCCATATCTGAAGATGTATGCCTCATTCTATATCACTTCTCCATCACTCATCTGCTAGGAGATGGGTAAAAGCTTCTGAAATCACAATTGATCACTGCTTTGATCAGAGTTAGGAAGTCTTTCAGAGTCTTTTCTTTTTATACTATTGTGCTCAAATCAATCCTAATCATTAATATACTTTCAGTGGTATTCGTCCTTCTTTTTCTCCCCCCAGGATGCAAGGATCGAAGTGTTTTGCTTAGTTCAAGAGACATGAATTAATAATCTTGACATTGTTTAAATCACATAACTATTTTCTCTGCCCATTTTTGAAAATGGGAGATGGGTGCTCTTATAGCATTTGACATTGTAAGATGCGAGGTATTTCCAAAGACCGAAATTATACCATTTATCATATTTTGAGGCAGCTAGGTGATACAGTAGATAGAGCACTAGATCTCAATTCAAATCTGGCCTCCAATATTTACTAGCTGTGTGAACTTGGGCAGGTCATTTAAGCTCTGTCTGTATTAGTTTCCTCATTATAAAAATGGGGATAATATGAACACCCATTTCCCAAGGTTGTTGTGAGGATAAAGAAGAAATAAGATTTGTAAAGCATGTGGCAAACCTTAAGGCCCTATATAAATACTAGCTATTATTATCACTTTATCTTAATGACAGAAATGTTCATTTTTACACTCTGGAGTGGACAGTAACAGTTCTTCTATCCGAGGGCAATTTGAGAGAGAAATTTCTTTTGCCATAATATAAGTTTGCCTTTGAGAAATCAAGTAATCCAAACACAGACTTGATCCATTTATAGACCCTTAGACTCCATTAGAATATTCTGAAAATAAAAGGATAGGAAAATGTATTATTCAATAATGGATTAACAATAGAAATGTTTCATCTAATATCTAGTGACAGCTCTATCTAGAAATCTTTCGAAGAATCAATCACTCGGAATAGTAAAGTCGGAAGTGTTCATTCGTAGAGGAAAAGTCAAAGAAATATTTCAAAGTTCCGAATGTACTTGGCTGACCATTTTTCATTGAGCCATGGTTATACAGGCTTACCCTTTCTTGTTTTTTTTTTAATCGATCTGCAAAATGTAGTTGAGATTTTACCTCCTTAATTATCTTTTCTCCAACAGAAACCATACTCCTTATCTACCTGGGGCCGAGAGGAAAGCTGAAAGAAAAAAAGGAAATCTTCATCTCAGATAAGGGTCACATTAGACTGTGACCTTTGTCTTCCATAGTCATATCACCCAATCAAGAAGCACTTTTTAGTATCCCCCCTATGTGCCGAGATATGTGAGATAAACATATGCAAAATATACATGACATAAATACATGGTACTTTTCTTTTCCTCCGAGGCTCTTTAGTCTGAAAAAAATCTTTGCTTCCTGAATACATTGAGTTGGTGTGGCTTTTTGTCTTGTAGGCAATTGTTGTTTGATAAGAACATTTTCAAAAACTCTCAAGAATTATGGATCTTCAGAGAGAAGGTTCACCTTCCTTATGTCAGAGAAAGACTATTCAGATCATCACAGACAGATGGGAAGCCCTTTTATTTTTAAAGCTTTAGCTCTGTTCTTTTAGAGCAGTTTACGTTTTTTTAATTTTTATTTTTCATTTTAAAGAGAGTTTGTCTGGCCACACTTCAGTAAAACCAGTTTAGGCCATCCATTATGTCTCAAAAGCTCTCTTATTCATTCTTTATCCTTTTTTTTTCCTTTTCGGTGAAGCAATTGGGGTTAAGTGACTTGCCCAGGGTCACACAGCTAGCTATTAAGTGTCAAGTATCTGAGGCTGGATTTGAACTCAGGTCCTCCTGACTCCAAGGCTGGAGCTCTATCCACTGTATCACCTAGCTGCCCTTATCCTTTCTTATTCATTATTATTCATTGCCTCCCAAACAGGAATCTTTTTTCCTTTGGTTTTGCAAAAATTGATGTAAATCTACACATACCTTATTGGTAACAGGTGTTCCATACAAAATGTTTTCATTTTGGGCAGTATCTTTAACTGGAAAAACAGAATTTATGTTATCATTTGAAGTTCATTTTATAGGAATGGACAGAGGTAAAAAAGAAGGAAAATCAGTAAGTAATTAAGACTTTATCACCCATAAGGAGCTATGACATCATAAAATGTGTTGATCTGTGGGTGGAAGGAAGATTTGTTTAGTTCCTCATAGTGGCCGCAAAGAGAGAGGGGCCTGGCGTCTCTTCTCCTGACCTCAGTGACTCCAACCTTTAAATGAGTCTGCATTTCAATGTGAAATTGGCCAGCACATCTAGCCTCTAATATTTATATTTTTATTCTTCTATTTCCCTACTCTGCTAGTCATAGTACAAAAATTTTAATTTTCCATGAAAGTCAATGTTAGATTAGTCAATCTATGCCTCACCTCTAAGACCGGAGAAGACTGCTTTCTATTCTTTGGCTCACTATTCATTCTCTTTGTCTCTCTCTTCCTCTCTCTCTATCTGTCTCTGTCTCTTTATCTATTTCTCCTATTCTTACTTTCCCATCTCATGCCCATATATTATCTTAGTAGGAAATAATGATGTAGGAAAGATGGCAGTCAATTAATTGATATTTTCCTGCCATCGCTTTTGAAAGTGACGCTTCTTTACCTGACAGGTACCCCAAATTTGTAGACTATGGTCCTTTAATACCATCACTTCCTCATAACTGACTCATGAAGCCCATTTCATCATTACTGCTGTCCTCACTTAGGTTGTACCAATGCACCTAGGTGCTTTTGGAAAACACCTTAGCTGTCTATAATATTTAGCACACAGTAGGAACTCCCAGCTAAAATCATATTTTTTTTTGAGAAGCCTTTCCTAATCTTCCTTAATGCAAATGCCTTCTTCTGATATTATGTACAATTCATCCTATGTATAGCTTGGTTGGACGTATTTGTTTGCATGTTGTCTTCTCCCTTAGATTCAGAGCTCACTGAGGGCAGGGACTATCTTTTGCCTGTCTTTGTATTCCTAGTGCTTAGCACAGTGCCTAGCACACTGCTTATTGACTGACTCAGCAGGCCATTATAAACGTTGTTTTTTGTTCTTTGTTCTTGAACAGCAACCTTTGTATAATTTCCAGCAATATACTCACTATTCTTTATGGTACGACTCTACTTTCAGACTGAATCGGTCCACTGTAGTAGAAAGCACGCTGGATTTGGATTTAAAGTTCCTAGGCCAACTCTGCATTCTCTTATTTACTACTATGGCAGGAGGTGTTGGGTAAATTGTTTCCCTTCAGTGGCTTCCAGTTTTCTAAAATGAAGTGTCTGTACTTGAAGTCTTAAAAGTTCCTTCTAGTTGTTAAACCTATGATCAATTTCTATCACGCCAACATTTCTTATACTCTTTTCTTAATTACCATGGCTATAGGACAGGCTTTAAATATAGGCCAAAAAACATTCCCATCAAATGTCTCTGAAATGAGGGGAGGGAGGAGACAAGTATTCTGCATTGTCAAAGGTGCACTTCACTAGGAATTCTCTAAACCAATGAAATCACAGGTCCAATCTTTAAAAAAAAAAAGACTATAGAGGATCCCTAAGGTTCTGACTGCCCAGAAACCTTATGATTCTACTGTTTATATGGATTTTATAGGTGCTTCATTCCGATCAGGATTGCTGCCTTCTTTAAGTTATACTGGTCTTGAGGCCAAGCATCATGATTTCTTTTTTGGGGTAGCGTCTGGACCAGTGCTCTGAACATAGTGAGTACTCAATACTGATCAATCGTTGTGTGGTAGCCACTTGGCAGAACTCTAGAGGCTGAGTAACCTGGAGAAATTTGAATCTTAAAATCAAGGTCAGAAAAGTCAACTGAAGTAGCCCAAGTGAACTTTTGCTGAATTTACTTTTTCGGTATTCACTTACTATAGTCCTTTCCAAACAATCCTAGAGCAGCCTATGGCTTTTATTAGACTAGAGTCATTGGGGTCTCAAATTATTTATATTTATGGATTGGATATCTTTTTTATATACTTACAATCTGGATGGTGCACAATGGTGATTTTATCTGGAAAGAAAAAAAAACAGTAATAATACTGCTCAGTTTATTTGGGGGCGGGGGGAAAGACAGGGGTAGGTTGTGCCTTTCTCTCCCCTGACCTTCCCTTCCTTGCCTCTTCACATTACTGTTAGGAGTTACCTTCTCCCTTTGAATCGATTCAGAAATTTCACATGGGATCACACATAAGATAATAAAATTCTAATACTAAGCCACTACATTTTAACTAGTCTTTTAATTACCCTGAGAGTAAAGACAAGGTTCTTTCTTTTTTCATCAGTTATTTTCAAATAAGAGTTTATCTATCATCTACCTACATGTGTGTGCGTGTAGGGGTGTATATGTACACACATATATATGTATGTACATATACACATATGCATATATGTAGTGTTTTACAAACCTTAAAGTGCTATGTAAATATATAATGCTATATGAATATAATATAACACATATGAATAATGCTACAGTCATTATTGTTTTGTATTCTTCCTTTCTCAGTCTTTGAACATACTGATGCTTGTTAACTAAAGATGTTCATCCCTGGTACTTATGAATTTGTAAACTTTTGGTCTTCTCCAGCACAGCTAGGGTCATAAAAGTGATTCAGTCAACTCTCAACATTCTATGTGAGTGGGGCCATGGGTAAGAGTGGAACACCATTGGTAGTAATTATCCTGGTAATTTCTATTTGGCTTTGGGAAGCATTGTGATTTGTGGGAGTAAATTTAACTTCTTAATTTTGTTTTCTTTAGACTAGCATTAAATTTGTTTTTCATTTGCTGAGCACGTGGTAATTAATGGAGAGTCTTCCATAAAGCATTCTGGGATGTGTGGGAAGCCATCCTGAGTTAATAAGGGTGGTTAAGAATAGACCATACCTGTGTGATAAAAAAGAAATAGATAGCTATGAATTGTCAATGATTTAGCATGAATAGTAATAACTAATTATTAGCATCATTGTATGGCTATTGGTAATGGGGTACTACAGTCACAGAAGAATTAAGCTTGAGAGTAACCCAGAGGGCAGAGAACAGGGTGGGGAAGTATCCTATAGCTAAGGAAGAGTAGCATAGAAACTCTAGCATCAAGGATGTGTCTGGGAGAGGTATAAATGGGAACCAGTGTGAGTCAGTCACATCACAAGAGCAAGGGCTGCCTACGTGCTCCATTTGGAGTCACAGAAAGAGATCCTGAGGCATACCCCTGTAGCACAGTGGATAGATCTCACATCAAGAATTTAGAGTAGGATGTGAACAAAAATTAAGCAACAGGAGAAGTCATGGGATCTGCCCTGGTGGAGGGAGTACCAACATTGATGAGTTCCCAGTGCCCCCAAAGAGGCATGGCAGATAGAACCCTGAGAGTTGGAGTCAGGGGACCTGTATTCAAATCCTGATTTGACCAATTACTAGCTTTGTGTGGCAAAACTCATCCTCTCTGGACCTCAATTTCTTTATTTGTGAAATGAGGAGATTGGACTAAATGATTTCTGACATTCCTTCTAGCCCTAATCATATGCCCCTATTTGCCAAATGATAACTAATAACTTTGCTGAACGTTTTCAGATCAAACTCATGGGTTAAAAAAAATTATGGTAGGTAACTTTAATTTACCATAGAAGTGTTCTTCTTCTGGTCTCTTCCCAATAATGCAGTCTCGGAGCTGTCGTAACTTTTCCTTAAGGAGAAACATCCCCAAATAAATGTTAATAATTTTAGTTTTGTCATGGACTAAAATGGAATGCAGAAACAGATTTTTTTTTTTTTACCAAGTTAACTTCTGTGCTGTAGTAGACTTGGAAGGTACTCAGGAACAGAAGTAGGAACTCCCAAAACAAGGCCTGCTCTGCCCCTCTCCCTCCCCTCCCTTCCCTGGACCCCAACCAACTAGGATGCAAGTCAACATGCAATGTGGACTTAGATCTCTGATTATTTTATATTTTATATCCCCCAAGGCTCCATCCTGCTCCCTCCTCTCTTCCTTTTGTTGTTCAGTTGTTCGGTAGTGTACAACTCTTTGTGACGACAGCACACCAGGTCCTTTCATCCTCCACCATCTCTCAAAGTCTATCCAAGTTCATGTTTCATTGTTTCTATGATGCCATTCTATACTATTTTACTTGGTGATCTCATCAGCTCCCACAGATTCAATTTATCATTTCTATGAAGATGATTCACAAATCTCTTTATCGAGCCCTAATCTCTCTCCTGATCTCTATTCTCCATCTCCAAATGCTTATTAAATATCTTGAACTGACATTTTAAACTCAACATGTCCCAAACTGAACTCATTATCTTTTCCTTCAATCTCTTCTCTCTTCCCAACTTCCTTATTACTGCCCAAGACACCACCCCTGCCCAAGTCATTACGGACACAATCTAGCTATCATCTTCAACTCCTCACTTTCTCCCACCCCTCATAGCCAATCAATCACCAACACTTATAGATTCTACTTTCACAGTATCTCCCATATAGGCCCTCTTCTCCCTATGAACACTGCTCCCACACTGGTGCAGAGTCTTATCACCTTGTACCTAGAGTATTGGAAAAATCTTCTGGCTGATCTCCTACCTCAAGTCTCTCCTTCTTTCCAGCTTCCTTTTGTGTTTTTTTTCTTCATTCATTAGATTGTAAGCTCCTTGGGGGCAGGGGCTGTCTTATTTTTTTCTTATTTTGTCCCTAGCATTTAGTACAGTGCCTGGCAAATATTTAGGCACCTAAGAAAAGGTTTTTGCATCATATCAAACACTGTAATCCAGTGACACCGGTCTCTTTGCTATTCCTTGAATAAGATGTTTCATTTCCCAACTCCATGTGGCTTTCCTTTACATCTGGAATCTTCTCCCTCCTCAGCTTGGTCTTCTGGCTTCCCTGGCTTCCTTCAGCTAAAATCACACGGCCTGCATACAGAAACCTTTTCTCGACCCTCTTAATGCTAATGTACCTTCCCTCTCACATTACCTCAAATTTACCCTGCATATATAGTTTCTGAGGTTGAAACATAGGACAATGTTACAGACTTTGGCAGCAAGATCTTTCCTTTCTGGGTCTTCAATAGATGTGTCTAGAGCACCTGGGGAACAATCCCTAGACTACCTCTCCACGGTGATTGCTTCCCAAGATGATGGCTGAAAGCATTGCTATTCTCAAGCATCTTGGGTTCAGGGCCCTGGGCTGTCTCCAGTGGCATCTGAGGGGAGATGGTAGTCAAAATGATGGTGGTTTGACTTGCCTGGCACACTCTGCCTTCTGCTCCCTCCACTGTACTTTGCATCTGCTGCTTTGCCTGGTTTCAACTCCACTGGTGTGTCCCCCATTCTTCCCCTTTCCCCACCATGCTTCCTTTTGTGTGTATCTTCCCTCATTAGACTGTAAGCTCGTTGAGAGAAGAGACTGCTTTCTTTTTAATACTTCTATCCCCAGCACTTAGCACAGTGCCTGACATATAGTAGGTGCTTGATAAATGTTTTCTGGATTGGATTGAATTATCTCTCCATCGTGATACCTTGCTTCAACGAGGCTGGCTTTTCTCCTTTATGGGTCTCAGTTGGTAGGGATGGCTGACCCTTTCTCCATAAGGAGGCATTTCCCTAGATAATGGCTGTGAAGTCTGGGCCTGAAGTAGGACCAGTGGTTTGGGGTCCTTTTCTTATCGCTAATTGATGATAGTTGGTCAGAAATTATTGCTGGGGGTCATGAGGAAGGCAGCCCCTTCTTTCCAAAGATTTCTTCCTCTCATTGATGCTGTGGAAGGCTAGGTTGGAAGAAGATCTAGGGGTTCGGGGGGACACTACCATTCCCAAGGTTCTAGGGTTCAGGGTTCTGGGTGATAGTGGAGGTGATGATTCGACTGGGCGAAGGCACTGTCTCCTGCTTCTTCCTCAGAGTACCTTGCTGCTTTAGCTAGGCCGACATGCTTATCTTACGTGTGAATGTTTGTTGGCAGTTGGTGGGGATGACTGCCCCCTTCTCCACAGGACTTGTTTTCCTGCATGATGGCTGTGAGGTCTGGGCTAGAAGCAGAACTCTTGGTTTGGGGGATGGGGAGAAGGCAGTGTTGACACTTCCTGTGCCTCTCATGAAGCACTTCTTAGCCTTTAGAATTTATTTGGCAAAATGCCATTCCCCATACTTTATTGTTCTGTTAAGAAAGTCTTGGACTTACCAAAATGCTTATTCATCTTCAAAATCTGGAGAAAGCCAGATCTAACCACCTTTACCCACAGCTAGGACTGGCCTTAGGCAAATACAGAGTAGACATTTGCTTATGTGAGGTGATTTAAGGACTGGTCCCTACTCTGAATCATTTCTCAGATGCCATACTGTCTAAAATACAATTAGAGATTTGTTCCTTTGGTTAACTAATTACCTCTAAAGATATTTTCTTTTAAGTGAAATTTTCTTTGGGATGGGCAACATAGTACATTCGTATCAGTCATTTATTTGGTGTGGGTTATTGAATGAATTGTTTCCCCTTAAAAGCACTGAGAGAATGGAATGTTTTTGTGGGAAGAAGGAGGGAGGCATAATTCTGGAATTAGAGGAATGTTCCATGGATATGAATCCTAGACATTAGCTAACAGAAGCACATAGAAGTACACCTTGGTAGTGGGGACTGCCAGGACATGAAGAGGGGGAAAAAAGAAAGAAAAAGAAAAAAGAAAAAAAAGAAAAAGGAAATAGGGAGTTGCTGGGGAAAAGAAAAACAAAAAAAAAATTCCATCAGTGTGATAATTCTCATTCCAGCTCTTTCCAAGTCTTGCAGACATAAACTCACTTATCTCCGATTTTCTCACTGCCCACACAGTCTTTAGGTTTGCACTTCCTAAATGTGCTATGGCATAAACTTGTAGAGCACTATTGGATATTTTAAATGTTCAACCTAGTTATTTAATAAATGAAACCTTTAGGTATTCTTTTGGCCTGGAAGTGCTGTGAAAAAATACTGAGACCTTGAACTTGCCATGCCATGAAATGAGAAAGTTTGGGAAACTCTGCCTTAGGTTAATGGAGCACAAAGAACAAATACTCTTATAAACCCACCAGAAACACAGTTATCCTTGCAGTAGAACACAGAGTTAAGAAGGGGGATGGTAGGGGCAGCTAGGTGGCATAGTGAATAAAGCTCTGGCCTTGGAGTCAAGAGGACCTGAGTTCAAATCCAGACTCAGACATTTAATGCTTATTAGCTCACCAAAAAGCAAAAAAAAAAAAAATTCTTTTTTAGAATGGGTATGGTAGAGTCAACTAGATTTGTTTTGGGGATTATTGTCTGTTTAGTCTTCAGGCCATTTCTTTAAGATTTTTTTTTTTTTTTTGTGAGGCAATGGGGCTAAGTGACTGGCCCAAAGTAGCACAGCTAGGAAGTGTCAAGTGTCTGAGGTGAAATTTGAACTCAGGTCCTCCTGACTCCAGGGCCAGTGCTTTATCCACTGTGCCACCTAGCTGCACACCCCCTTTTTTGTGTTTTTTTTTCTTTGAGTTTTTTTCTTTTCTTTTCTTTTCTTTTTTTCAGGTCATTTCTTTAATCGCCTGATGTACTTATTCTTTCTTCTAAGTGTTGGGCCTATACAGATGTACCTGACTGCCTTCCACTTAATCTTGGAAATGATTTTCTTGAAACATTTAGATATGTTAAAAAGCAATCTTAGGAGCTGAATAAATATTTGTGTAGAAACTAACAGTCTCAGAGTTAAATGCACCAGGGATTTGTCAATCTGGAATGTTCTCATTTAAAAGCTTATGCTTAGAAGTATTAAGGCATTTGGTTTGTGAATAGATAGAAATTCCAAGGCCTGCACTATCATAGTTTTGGGCTGTGTTAAGTGTTTAAGAGTTGAGGGATGAGATGCTCAGTGACTAGAGGTAATCTCTGGGGACAGACTTGGGGCCTGGTTACCTGCTGAATAACTTCCAGTCCACTTTTTTCAGTTTGCCACTGTTTGAATTTCTTCAAGGCTTCATCCATAGAAATTTCTCCAGTTTTTACTTTTTCCTGCAAAAGAATGAGTTCTTCTTGTCCAGAAGGTATGCAGCATTTCAGGGCAGAACACCGTTGATAGTCCATTCCGATTCTATCTAGATTGGTGCAAGGGAGAGAATTTTGAAACATCAGTCAACATTTGGACATTTTTTGATTTCTCTCTCCCCTTAAATATTCATTAGCAGTTGCAAAGTAGGTCATTAGTCGTAGTTCAAAGTAGGTCAAATCAGGTGATTTATAGCAGTTGAGACCCTGAAACATTCATGGGGCGTTAAAAAGATGGAACTCACTATACAGGGAGATGATCACTCCTTCTTCCTATTGTGTTGTTGGCTGATTAAGCCGGCCACCAGCATCTGACTAGCTATCTCAGACAGGCAGGGGTAGAAAATGCAGAACCGTTAGAGGATGCTGGATATAGCTTCCCTTTTCCATTCCTTCTGTTGATTTAACACATGACAAAAAAAAAAAGACAGGGAAGCAGGATCTTCTGGGGAAGCAAAATGTTTCCAACTAGAGGCAGTTAGATGGTGCTAGGTATAGAGCACTGGGTCTAGAGTTAGGAAGACCTGAGTTCAAATCTGACCACAGACACTTAGCAGCTGTGTGACTCTGGGAAAGCCACTTTACTTCTGTCTGCCTCAGTTTCAGTTTCCTCAGTTGTAAAATGGGATTCATAATAGTATCTAACTCATGGGGTTATTGTGAGAACTAAATAAAATTATATGTATAAAGCACTTTGTATGGTGCCTGGCACATAGTAGGTTCTTAATAAAAACTTGTTTCCTTCTTTTTCACTTCTTTAAAAAATTTACACATTTTAATTAAATTAATTTTAATTAATTAAATTAAATTAAATTTAAATTTTTAAATTTCCCCAATTACATATTTAAACAATTTTCAACATATATATTTTTAGGTTTTGAATTCCAAAGAAACATTTTCCCCTCCCCCCAGATTGTAAGCAATCCAATATAGGTTATACATCTGCAATCATGTAAAACATTTACAAATTAGTCATTTTGTAGGACAACACTCAAACAAAAAAGAAAGAAAGAAAGAAAGGGTAACAAAAGAAAGAGAAAATAGTCTGTATTCAGACTGTATTCAGTCTGTATTCAGACAATATCAGTTCTTTCTCTGGAGGTGCATATCAGGTTTCATCATGAGTCTTTTGGGATTGTCTCAGATCATTGTATTACTGGGAATAACTAAGTCATTCACAGTTTTTCACTATTCAATATTGCTGTTTCTATGCACAATGTTCTCTTAGTTCTCTGTTCACTTCACTTTGCATCAGTTCAGTTAAGTCTTTCCAGATTTTTCCCAAAGCGTCCTACTTGTCATTTCTTACAGCACAATAATACTTTCTTACAATCGTATCCCACAACTTATTCAACCATTCCCTAATTCATGGGCATGCCTTCAATTTCCAATTCTTAGCCACCACAAAAAGAGCTGCTATAAATATTTCTGTACATATAGGTGCTTTCCTCCTTTTTTGGGGGGTGGGATGATATCTTTGGATATGCCTCTAGCAATGGCATTGCTGGATCAAAGGGTACTGCACAGTTTTCTACCCCCCTTTGTCACTTCTACAGAAATATCCAACCACTAGTAAATGATGGTGAATCTGAGTGACCCCAGAAGCCATCTTGTATAATTTCCCTCCGAGTAAGAATCTTTCAACAGCATCCTCTGCAACTGGACATAGAGTGTTTGCTTGGACATCTCCAGTAAAGAGTAATCTAAAATCTATATATAGGTCTAAGCCTTCCTCTTTGCCTCATCCCACATCCACATCTACTGCTTTTTATTTTACCTTCTGGGGATAAACTGGAAAAAGTTTAATCCTTCCTTTATGTGACAATCCTTCAGATACTTGAACATAGCAATCATGGCCCAAACTAAGAGCTCTTTTTTTTAGTATAAATATCCCAGGGTTAATTTTTAAACCAGTCTTCATATGGCATAACCTCAAGACCTTTACTATCCTGGTTGCTCTATTCTGACGCTTATCCATATTGTTCTTAATATGTGAAGCCCAGAACCTAAATAAATGCTGTCGGACCAGGGCAAAGTATAGGAAGGCTGTCACCTGCCTAGGCCTGCTCAATATTCATCCCTTAGTGTAACATAATATTGCATTTGTTTTTTTGTTTCCATGTTATGCTGTTAGCACTTAGAGTGGTAGTCCACCCAAATCTACAGGTCTTGATTCAGATAAACTTCTGGTTAGCCATGAATTCCCTATCTTGCATTTTTTGACATTGATTTTTTAAATCTAAGAGTACTGCATCTCTCCTTGTTCCATTTTATCATAATATAGTTGGCCCTATGCTGTAGGTTGTCAAGATTTTTGAGAATCTTGATTCCATCATCTACTGAATTAGCTATTCCTCCTAGCTATCTACAGATTGATAAACATGCCATCTATGTTTTTGATAAGAATGTTGAATAAAAGGAATAAGAAAAGAGCCATGGGACCTTCCTTCCAAGTTGACGTTAAAACGATTACTCTTTGGATATAATGATATAACCAGTTTCAAATATGCCTAACACCTAATAATCTGGCCAATGTCTTTTCCACAGCATCAGTAGGGGAGACAGTTACTGAAACAGAGAGAAGACATTGAGGTTTACAGTTTCAGAGTTGGGAATTACTCAGAACACATGGGTTTTCTTCACTCATGCCTTGTCAGGCAGTTTCCTTAACAAATACTGAGTGCATTGGCAAGAAAGTATGACCCAAATTTATGTAAGGATTGTGATGTATTTATAATTTAAGCATTTACTTTAATACATGTGATATTATTATTTCTTTTGCTTTATAGTAATAAGTGGCTATGTTTAAGATACAAAAGTATTACTCTCATGAGTGGCTGGTTGTATAAATAGAACACAGTGATATTTAGCTCAGAGCTGAAGTGATGAGTAGAAGTATATTCCTTCACAACAGGTTTTTCCTTAGGACCCTGAGAGAATTTGAGTGTAATTTCATGAAGGTGGTCTTTTTCTGGGCAACTTGACCTGCTGTGTCCATATACCCTCTAGGAGAGGTGTGAGGTACTATCTGCCAGTTTTTTTCAGGACCCTAGAATATAGTTCATCTAGGCTGCTGACTTGAAATTATCAAGGACAGTTTGGTTCTCTCTCCCTTGATATCTTATGTACAAAGCTCTTATTATTTACTGATTGTTTCGTCCTTTACAAAGATAATTCTCTGTGGAAGAGGAAACAAGTGTAATAAAAGCTGGATAACTTTTCCTTCCATTGATTTGGGCTATCCACCCCAAACAATATTCTCATCCTCTAATTCTCTTCTTTCCTCCAATGTTGCTTTAAAAACCTTTTTTTTTGTTTTTTATTTTAATTTTTTTAATTTTAATTTTATCAGCCTTAATCTTTTCTGAGCTTATAATCCTGACATTATTCTTACACATTGTTGTATGCTTTTGCATTCATCCTTTGTTACCTATTCAGTTATGTCCCACTTTTCGCAACCTTATTTGGGGTTTTCTTGGCAAAGATACTGGAGTAATCATTTCCTTCTCCTGCTCATTTTACAGGTGAGGAAACTAGGGTAAACAGGGTTAAGCAACTTGCCTAGGGTCACACAGCTAGTAAGTGTCTGAGGCTGGATCTGAACACAGGAAGATGAGTCTTCCTTCTAGCACTCTATCCACTGTGCCACCCAGCAGATACCTCTACTTGCTTCCATTGTCTGCGTGTTTTAACAATTAAATTGTTTCTTGAGTTTCCTATGCTTCCACATCATTATATTTAAGCAACTTCTAATTTTTTTTTCTTTTTGTGTTTTGAGAATATCATTCCTTAGAGCTTCCCATCTCTCCTAAGTTGATTTTCCTTGTATAATTTAGTCCATGGGATCTTACTGATCACTCCTCTCTTTTGCTCTCCTAAAACCTAGGGTGCATTTCAGACCATGCCTGGCTTCCCTCATCTTTTCTCTTATAAATTCCAATACGATGAAGCAGTCGTCTCTCATAATCCCTTCCCATCATTTCCCATGCAAAATGAATTGTTCCTCTACCTTTTGAGTGATGGAATTATTATTAAGGTAAATGAGGAAATGTTTGGCTGCTCTGCTTTTGATAGAGAAAAAAAAAAGCTTCAACAGATATCTGTGTAATCAGAGTCCTCAATAATTACTCTGCTATGTCACCAAGATAGGTTTTGTGATCTGTTTCTTTAACTTTTCATCTATTTTCTTTTTCTTTCTAGGTTGTTGATAGCAAATGCCAATGACCATATTGCTTCTGTTTGTGCCTCTGTTGATCTTTACCCAGATGTTCTCCACACTATTTCAACCCTTCTACTTCCTACATTATTTCACAAAACTATGCCTTTTTACATAAAATGCTACCCAACCTCTTTAACTTATCCAGTTTCTTTTGAATTAAGCACCCTTCTAGAACAATGTTCTGGTTACTATTCTTATTCTACCAAGTACTGTTGATATCTGTGAAGTTAAATATGCCTTCTTGCATTTGGATATCTAGGTTACCTTGCTTGTAATCTCTGCTTTGTACACTTGTGATATTAGTATCAGAGGCTGTGGGGTATATTGTTCTTAGACAATGCTTCCCTGTTAATTTCTCAACTACTATTCTTTATTCTACATTCAAGCTACTGTTTATACAGGGGTTCTTAACCATTTTTTTGTGTATAGAATGAGCCATTTAAATAACATTTTCGAATGATTGAAGGAAATGCTAAATTTCAGTTAGGTTGCTGAAAATAAAGATGTATTTTTTTTCTTTCCAATCGTATAGACCCCATGAAATCTGTCAATGGGCCTCAGGTTAAGAACTCCTGATTGTAGTCTCTAGTGTGATGGATATACATAGACAATTTCCCTCTCCTTTACTCTTTTCAATCTGAAGCTCCTTTGATTAGAATCCTCAACCTGCTAGTAAGTGTCTCACCCGCCCTATAGATTCAGGGTGGGGGAAGCATTCAACTATCCTCAAATGGTTGATGCTTCTAAATACCTTGCTGTGGTCTTGGCCTTCATCAGTATATGGTTATATCATTTTCACTTTGGACTGGGAAAAGCACACTTAGGACCAGT